CATTCAGTATTATATTGGAATATGCTGCAGATGATTACACAGGGGATTCAGGAATACGCATCTTCTGCACGGAATGTCATGCGGATGTTCCGACGTGGGATGAATTCCAAGACCACATGAAATGTTATCATCCCTGTAGGTATTTCTCTAATTGCCAAGCTTAGTTCACAATGATTTTAATGTTGAATTTTCGTATCTTTTGAATTACAGATATATGGCTCAATTTGTTCTCATGAAATGAAGCAGATCACTTTTTCGCTTACGAAATCGTAAGATCTTTTATGCTTTCCTTGTAGCCCAGCACTTTTTCATCAAATAGATACCCGTTAGTGAGAAATCTTTTAGAATACAAATTTTGTATTTGGTTTAAAAATGGACTCCTCCAATTTTCCGCTAGCAGCAGATCTCAGTGCGCGGAATTTTTCATCAATCTGTTGCTAAAATCATCATTGCACTGGTTTTGACACACAACGATTACAAATTAGTGCCAAATTATTACCAGTTATCCATTTGCTTAAAATAGGCCGCTTTTGATAGCAATGAATGTGGGGATTCTTTTATTTACTTACGTTTTGGCTCCTTTTGGTTCTAGTAGCGCCATTAATCACCCGCGGTTAATTATTTTAATATATGCCCTACAAATAGGCATGCATGTAATAAAGATGAGCCGCACTAATATTGCATATTTTTTCTTTAAATTCTAGTCAGTGTGCCATAAATGGGCATATCTAAATGCAATTAATGGTCTACAGTTCCTTCTTCAAAAACTCATTGAACCGTTGAGCGTATATGCGAATGCTTGGACAAACCAGAGCAAAGAGGTCAAAAGGGAATATATTTTAGTCTAGTCGAAGTCATGATGCATACGAATTCTGTTGACCATGCAGACAAGATGCTATGGCAACCAGATAAAACCGTGTGGAGGCCTCACGAGTTAAATGAAGGCATGTAGTCAAGACAATTTTGCAACCGCAGTGGGCAAATCTTTTCTGTTTGTCCTGATTTTATGAAGTGGATGAAAACAGATTTTTTATGGGGTAGGGTAATAAGGCGTATGAATATACTGTCTGAAGTGCCACATTTACTCGAAGCAGTGTAAAGACACACGTAACTTATTAACGTGAATGGAGCTGAGAGGCTATTAGCATCGTTCGAAGGGCAGACCATAGTGTGGAGCCATAATCTGCTGAGTCAGAAGCATTTGCGTTGTCCGCTAAACACGCAGGATAACGGTCTGTCAAATCATTGCTATAATCTTTTCAAAAATGCATTTCATTAAAATATGGGAGAGGAATTATGATAGGTGTGGATTTTACCGCCAGTATCACTTTAACAGCGACTACACACAGTTTCGCATTTGGTGTTACCCATCCACTAGGTGATCATCGACTGCTGTCTGATTAATCAATACTTTAGTTTATTCATCAATTAGGCAATTAATAAATGGCACTGTAAAAGCATTTAAACGCTCTCAAGTAGCACACGAGATGGTCCACATTACTCATTGCAATAGGCAATCTATCTCCAATTGCTCACTCTTCTTCATTCCCCCTCCCCTTTATCGCCAGCAATACAGTCGACAGTGCCACTTTATAGCACTCGACCCTCTCTTGTGTAAGTGCATTACACACTTACTCAGCTAAACTTTTGCACTAACTG